ATAAGTAGTATTTATTGAAATTTTCATTCAAATAGAACTTAGATGTATATTCAGTAACTTTTAAATATAGATAGGAATATTTATTTAAAAACCCTTCTAAAGTTCATAAAAAATATTTTGAAATCATTTTAAAAATAAGAAACTAGTTAATATAGTTCCTTATAATACTATTAAAAAAGTAAATCATAACACCAGATCATACAAAAATTATTAAGAAAATAGGAACTAGAGTTCCAATTATATGAGGCATTAATGTATAATTATTGTGTAATTTTTTAAATGAGGAAATAAAAAAAAATACAAGTCTCACTTTTTTACTTTCATATGCACCTGTTTCAACCCAATCCAATAAATTTTTTTTTTCATTTATTATTTAATATTTTCTTACTTTTTGACTTTTTTTGTTTACCAAACATAACATTAACAAAAGATTTAATTTGATGTAAGTTTGTTAGAAGGTGTTGATGGTAATTTCTCCTACTTTCGTCCTTACACTTCCTGGCTACCATTATTATAAGGTGACAAAAAAAGAAAGAAAAAAAACATCTTAAATTTTGTACCGTGAGCTGAGCTGGACAAAAATGGTTCAGATTTCAGATTCTCATCATCATCCGCTGCAACCTCCTTTAACAGTTTTGTACCAAAATAATAACGAATCCAACACAATGATTTCAAAACTAGAAACAAATTGGATAATTGATGAAAATGAAGAAAGTTAAGCACTTATTACTTAATTATATTACATTTTCATAAATCAATTTTCATCTCATGCTAATTTAAATTTTTCAATAACTGCCTGTGATTATGAATAAAATATCAATATTTTGTTGAAATAATAATAAATTTATTTCATTGTTGAATAGTAATACAATTGCGACAATGGAAAAATTACATTGAATTATATGAATAAAGATAAGAAAAATGATATTTTGAAAACCTAAATCCATATAATTCTCATAAATAACTCTATTCCCTTTTTATATTATATACACTTCCTTAAATTTCAAAAACATTATATGATCAAGAGGAGTAGTTGTAATAGTTTTAAAGAAAGTGTGATTTTCTCTGTATTACATGGGTGTGATGAGCAAATGTTCGGTCATGCAAATTCTTAACTTCTGGACAGTAATAATATTTATTATTGAAACAAAATGGCATGAATTGAATTACTAGGTCAAGAATTTGAAAAATCACTCGCATGCAGTAGCAGTTAATTGAAGGTGTGAAAAAGATAAGACCAAAAACAGTAAAGCTGATACAGATGAGAATAGTACAGGTACCTAATAGTTGATTATGAGTCTGTGTGTTAAAACATGGAGAAAGACTGGATGTTACAGTTAACAACGTTTGAGCACAGGTTAAGAAAGAGCAATAAAGTTTTGCGCTGTGATCAATGTGTGGAAGATATATATTGAGAATACAACAAACAAGCGTGATCAATGTGTCATGTGAGTAATGCGCAGAAACTGGTACCTCCCTGCCAAAACCAATTCAATGCAGTGACAGTGACAACCATCAAGAACATGCATGAAATGATGCTACTACACATTAACCTTGTTTGTAATTACGCTGAATATATATATATATATATATATACGTGCAAGGAGGTGCAGAATGATTATTATGTTGAAGGCAAAGTTTAGGTGAAAGACAAGGATAAGGGATTAAAAAAAGAAGAAGAGAGAATTGAGATGGCGATGGCTCAATGAAGCCAGGTAGGGAAAGATTTTACATGGGTGATAGGAATGTGAACGTTGATTAGTACAAGAAACTATTTTGGATCTGATTATATTGGATTGAGAAAGTGATAGTTATTGTAAATGTTTCTATGCCTAGTCTGAGAGACCTCAATCAGGACCACCTCTAACTGAAGTTTGGATCATTGTTCAAAGGTTTGGACCATGTTTGTCTCTGCTCAAACATAGGAACTGTGATTTTTGAAAATGTCTCTAATTAGTTGAAGAATATTTCAAATACACGAGATTTTGATGAGTGGGAAAAATGATGAAAAACCATAATTGAAAATATGATTCATTAATTATCCAAAACATATAAATGAATGGTGAATAGAGAAACAAGACAGCATGAAGGTAAGTGGGTGGTTAGTAGTGTATTGAGTTGGGTCACAAGCAAAGAGTGAAACGGGGAAAAAGGGTTGGAGCAAGATTGCTTTATGGAGCAGAAGATGTAGCAGAGGGACCACAGAGCCATGGGATGGGGCTGCACATGATATTCTTGATATGGTACGGTTGAGCAATGAGTAAAGCGTAGATTTGGTGTTGAACCCTTCAACCTTTTTTTCTGTATTTCTTGCCTCTCAAATCTCTTCAGCACACGACAAACTACGGGTACACACCCAAAAGGACGTTGTTAGTCACGGTACCATTAATAGACCCAATTGGTACAAAGTTTTTCAAGTAGAAACTTTTTTAAATTATTCAACTAGCCTTTTATCCCTTAGCTCAATCCATGCACCCTCATTTCATTCTATTTCACCTTATCTTTTCCTTTTCCTTCTTTCGCGCTTACATCTCCTCTGCCTCCAACAAAAATTCGCTTCCAAGGACCAATTCCTACTCAAACGCATAAATTCTGTCTCACCATAATTTCTTACTTCATTTAGGTGGTCAACTTTAAAGCAGTAATAAGATATAAATAGGCTTGGTTTTTACCTAATGGAAATTTTTCTATATAATGAGTTTTGTAATATGCAATATATTCACTAAAATACAAATTATCAAAGTAAAATTTCAAATGTATTAAAGAACAAAATTATGGACGGAAGTTTCGTGGTTTTAAACTCAGGCATTTATTGCAGTGGTGTTGAAGGAAGGTAAAAAAAAAAAACAGAGAGGAGAGGGTATTAGGGTTTGAAAAAGGGCAAAAGTGGAATGGGAAAGGGTGGGAATAGAGAGTTGCAGGGTTTGAAAATATTCCGAAAAAGGACGTGCCTCCGGGGAAGAGACAGGTGAGTGAGAGGGACACTGTTTGGTTTGAAGCCCCAATCACTCTCAATTCATACCTCACTCACCAATGTCCCTTCAAATCACATGCCCCACATCGCCAATGTCACTTGCTTCATAATGACCAAAACAACCTCCCACACCCAAATCCCAACCTTAATCACTCACTTTTTGTTAATACCTATTATTGCAAATGTATTGCAGAAAAAGATAATAATAAAGAGAAAACTTAAAGGAAGTGATAAAAGAAAAAAAAAATAATAATAAAGAAAAGTGGCTGACATAACATACAGAGGTGGAAACAAACAAAAAGAGTGCATATTGCATAAGCCTTTGATTCTAAAGCAATGAAGATAAAATAGAGTATAGTACATGTATAGCATAATCTAAAGAAAAGTTCGACTCTTTTTGGACTTTCTACAACGAATGTAACTATAGCCGTGCAATGTGCAAATCCCACAACCTTCCCCGATCCTATAGCTATTTTAAATCACTCCACACATTTGTTTATTATCAAAACAAAGTGAATAGCATAAGAAACCCAAGAAAGAAGAAGTGACAAAATTCCCTAATTCAATAAAAAAAGATCGACAAAACCCCAGTTTTCTGAACACCTTAGCCAATAGCTTAGCTTTGTCGTAAATTACTATAATCTAAGAATGGAAGCTGCACTTGTTAACTGTTTGAGTAGTTCTGAGGAGCAATCATCAACTCTTTAAATAATACAAAACTATATTAAAATCCAATATGCTGATTCAGTTTGATATTTTCACTGTTTAACACACACCAGAATAACAAAACAAGGATCATCACTGGTGTTTGCATGAAACGTTTGTTTTGAATTTCCATTAACAAATAGAAAGCAGTACTAAAGTAACAGTCAGCTGCTTCATCACAAATAGTTTTAAGTTCTATAAATTTAAAATTCTTACTGTTGAATTTGTTTAAATTTTTCAAATGTATGTTTATAAATCTTGTCTAACACTATCATGCATTTAGCTTTTAGTTTTCGGATTAAGTCACAACTGTCATACATTTTAGAATTGGATTTGTATCTCTAATGCTTTTAATTACTATCATATACTTTTTGAGATTTAGTATTTTTTTTTTCTAACTATAATTTTGTTTTCACTACAAATTATACACAACTCAAAAATTTGTGAAAGATTATTTCCCAGAGAATTGATTTAATCTGACATTTTACTTCAACAATCAATGCTTGACATTTTGAACAATGAATTATAAACACCCGAATTTTTCAAACACCCAATTATAATAGAATCCTGTTATTTCATTAACTAGAGCAAAAATAATTTTATAAATTTAAAATAAACATGCATGAATCCTTTTATCGATAAACTTTAATGTATTCTTTTAGAAAAAACATTAATAAAATCTATATAAGAATAATCTTACTTTAGAAATTAATTTTATTCATTAAAAAATGTAAATTTTTTCCATTAGGTAAAATCTGTAATTCATTTTAATAATGTATATCTATTGTTTCTTAATCAAGACCATATTTACCATCTTTTATTCTTTTAAAATACTTTCAAAACTTTTCTCTCTCTTTCTTTTAACTCAAATTACCTATGCCATTCATTATTTTTCTTCTTCTCTTTCCATCACTTTGTTCTTTGTTAAGAAACAATTTTAAAAAATGAAGAAAAAAAAACTTTCATTCTACTTCAACAGTCAATAATTATAATTACATGTATATAAGATTATAAATAAAATTTTGTCGAATATGCGTGGTTGTAAAATATGACCTTGTTAGGACATTACTTTTGAAGGCAAAGTTATTTTTTGGGTTAGGGAAGGTAGAAGTCACGTGCTATGCGTGCTGCACTCTGACAAATAACCTCTTTTGGCATCGCCACTGTGCCTCCTCTCTCTCACTCAAACCAACTCCATTTCATAGCAATGCTTCGTTTTCGTGTTCCTTCTACTACAACCCATTATCTTCAACCTTCTCCAACGCCATTTGCATGCACCATATTCCTCTAAACAAACCAAACCCTTCTCTTATTCTCACCCATGTCTCTGTCTTCCATGGCTCTTCCCTTCAACCTCGTACACTCCTACCTCGTCCTCTTCTTGTCGTGTTTTCTGCTTGCCACCGCAGACCAAAACAGCGAGAAGCTTTACCTCCTTTCCTTCAAAGAGGGTCTCCAAAACCCTCACGTGCTCCCCTCGTGGCACCCCGCCACCCCGCACTGCAACTGGGTCGGTGTCACGTGCCAACTCGGCCGAGTCACCTCGCTCTCTCTTCCCAACCGGAACCTCAGAGGAGCACTCTCTCCCTCGCTCTTCTCTCTTTCTTTGCTTTCTCTTCTCAACCTACGCGAAAACCAGCTCTCCGGTGAGATTCCCGGCGAGCTCGGTGGGTTGCTTCAGCTTGAAACTCTCCGACTCAGCTCCAACTCGTTTTCAGGGAATGTCCCGCCGGAGGTGGGGCTCTTAACGAGGCTACGCACTCTCGACCTCGCCGGGAATTCGCTCGCCGGAGAAGTGCCTGAGAGTGTTGGGAACTTGACCCGGCTTGAGTTTCTCGACCTCAGCAACAATTTTTTATCTGGTTCCCTTCCGCTTAGTCTCTTCGCTAGAGCGAGGTCTTTGATTTCCGTTGATATCTCGAACAACTCGTTTTCCGGCGTAATACCGCCGGAAATTGGGAACTGGCGGAACATTAGTGCTCTTTACGTGGGGATTAACAAATTGTCTGGGACTTTGCCCAGGGAGATTGGGTTGCTTTCAAAACTTGAAATTTTCTACTCTCCTTCCTGTTTCATCGAAGGTCCTTTGCCTGAGGAAATGGCGAAGCTGAAAGCGTTGACCAAGCTTGACCTTTCTTACAACCCCTTGAGATGTTCGATTCCCAAGTTCATTGGGGAGTTGGAGAGTTTAAAAATTTTGGACCTTGTGTTTGCCCAGCTTAATGGGTCGGTGCCAGTCGAGCTTGGGAACTGTAAGAATTTGACGTCTGTGATGCTTTCTTTCAATTCACTCTCTGGGTCTCTGCCTCAGGAGCTTTCTGAGCTTCCCATGTTAACCTTTTCTGCTGAGAAGAATCAGCTTCATGGGCCTTTGCCTTCTTGGCTGGGTAGGTGGAGCAATATTGATTCTCTTTTGCTCTCTGCTAACCGTTTTTCTGGGGTGATTCCTCCTGAGCTTGGGAATTGTTCATTGATGGAGCATCTCAGTTTGAGCAGTAATTTACTGACAGGTCCTATTCCTGAGGAGCTTTGTAATGCTGCCTCACTTTTGGAGGTTGATCTTGATGACAATTTTCTCTCTGGTACTATTGAGAGAGTGTTTGTCAAGTGTAAGAACCTTACCCAGTTGGTTTTGATGAATAATCGGATTGTTGGTTCTATACCTGAGTATCTTTCTGAGTTACCCTTGATGGTGCTGGACCTTGATTCTAACAATTTTAGCGGGGAAATACCTTCTGGACTGTGGAACTCATTGACCCTGATGGAATTCTCCGCTGCTAATAACCGTTTGGAGGGTTCTCTTCCTGTGGAGATTGGGAGGGCAGTTATGCTGGAGAGGCTTGTACTTAGCAATAATCGCTTGACAGGTACCTTACCTAAGGAAATTGGCAGACTCTCAAATCTTTCAGTTCTTAATCTGAATGGCAATATGCTTGAAGGGAGTATACCAACTGAGCTTGGTGGTTGCACTTCCCTCACGACACTGGACCTTGGAAATAATCAGCTGAACGGGTCAATTCCTGAGAAACTGGTTGAACTGAGCCAATTGCAGTGCCTCGTTCTTTCTCACAACAATCTGTCTGGCTCTATTCCTGCCAAACAGTCTTCATATTTTCGACAGTGTAGCATCCCTGATTTGAGCTTTGTTCAGCATCTTGGTGTGTTTGATCTTTCTCACAATAGATTGTCTGGCCCCATACCCGATGAACTTGGGAGCTGTGTAGTGGTTGTGGATCTCTTAGTTAACAACAACATGCTTTCTGGTAGCATTCCTAAATCACTCTCACGCTTGACGAATCTTACAACTTTGGATTTGTCTGGCAACTTGTTGTCAGGTTCCATTCCACCAGAGCTTGGACGTGTCCTCAAGCTCCAGGGTTTGTATTTGGGACATAATCAGCTTTCAGGTACCATCCCTCAAAGCTTTGGAAACTTGAGTAATTTGGTTAAGCTGAATTTGACAGGAAATAAGTTGTCTGGTCCAATTCCGGTCAGTTTTGAAAACATGAAGGGGTTGACTCACTTGGACTTGAGCTCTAATGAGCTCAGTGGCAAGCTTCCTTCCTCTCTTTCCGGAGTGCAAAGTCTTGTTGGGATTTACGTGCAAAATAACAGGCTTTCTGGCCAAGTAGGGGATCTCTTCTCAAACTCAATGACATGGAGAATTGAGACAGTCAATTTAAGTGACAATTGCTTCAATGGGAACTTGCCACGATCTTTGGGAAATCTTTCTTACTTGACAAATTTGGATCTTCATAGAAATATGTTGACTGGGGATATTCCTTTAGACCTTGGGGATCTTATGCAACTGGAATATTTTGATGTTTCAGGTAATCAGCTATCTGGAAGGATTCCAGATAAGTTATGCGGCATAGTTAATCTGAATTACCTAGATTTGTCTCGAAACAAGTTGGAAGGGCCGATACCAAATAATGGCATTTGCCAGAACTTACCCAGCGTTAGAGTTGCTGGGAACAAAAACCTTTGTGGCCAGATGTTGGGTATAAATTGTCACGATAAAAGCATTGGAAGATCAGTATTGTATAATGCATGGAGGCTTGCTGCAATTGCAGTTACAATTTTACTGCTAACACTAACCATTGCTTTTGTTCTGCATAAATGGATTACCAGGAGGCCAAATAATCCCCAGGAGCGCAAACTAAACAGTTACGTTGATCACAATCTTTATTTCTTGAGCAGCAGCAGATCAAAGGAGCCATTAAGTATCAATGTTGCAATGTTTGAGCAGCCTCTTCTGAAATTAACTTTGGTGGACATCCTTGAAGCAACTGACAACTTCAGCAAGACAAATATAATTGGAGATGGAGGTTTTGGAACTGTGTACAAGGCCACTTTACCTAATGGAAAAACTGTTGCTGTGAAGAAGCTTAGTGAGGCTAAAATGCAGGGTCATCGTGAGTTCATGGCTGAAATGGAAACCTTGGGCAAGGTGAAGCATCAAAATCTGGTTGAATTGCTGGGATATTGCTCAATCGCAGATGAGAAACTCCTTGTTTATGAATATATGATTAATGGGAGCTTAGACCTCTGGTTGAGAAATAGAACTGGAGCACTTGAAATCCTAGACTGGAACAAACGGTACAAAATCGCAACTGGTGCAGCTCGAGGACTAGCCTTCCTTCATCATGGTTTCATACCCCACATCATTCACAGGGATGTTAAAGCTAGCAACATCTTACTCAATGAAGATTTTGAGCCAAAGGTTGCAGACTTTGGACTGGCAAGACTGATCAGTGCCTGTGAGACGCATGTTACCACTGATATTGCTGGAACATTTGGTTACATTCCACCTGAGTACGGGCAGAGTGGGAGATCCACAACAAGAGGAGATGTCTACAGTTTTGGTGTCATTTTGCTTGAACTTGTGACTGGGAAAGAGCCAACAGGACCAGATTTTAAAGAGATTGAAGGTGGGAACTTGGTTGGATGGGTTAGTCAGAAGATCAAGAAGGGACAGGCTGCTGATGTTCTTGATCCAACAGTACTTGATGCTGACTCAAAGCAGATGATGCTTCAAATGTTGCAAATTGCTTGTGTGTGCATATCTGATAATCCTGCAAACAGGCCTACCATGTTTCAAGTGCACAAGTTCTTGAAAGGGATGAAGGGAGAGTAGTTGACTAGTATTCACAGCAACAATTAACTGCAAACTCTTCTAACATAAACTATGACTATGAGTAATTCTAATGTTTATGTATGTAGACTATGGTTTATCAAAATATATATATATATATATATATATATATATATATATATATATATATATATATATATATATGCACTTTGTTATCCATATGATTTAATGTCTTGACAAGTTGAAGATATTGACTGAACTCCGGTGTACAAGTTAAAATATGTTTGTTACTATGTGGGTTAGTAACTTTATAAACAAAATATTAACATAATATTTATGTCTTTCTACTTATTTAATGTTAAAATTTTTTATGAAATACTCCTACTCAAGATTTTTGGCTCAGAAAACAGTACCATGACATGCGGAGGTGAGTTGAAGAACTTCTTAGTTCTTCAAGTGAAAGGGAACAAAATGTCACTCAAAATAGGAAGCATCATTTACCCTATTTTAGGTCCAAAGGGAGAATACCAGTCATCAACCTATGTATATAGTGGTGGTGAAACTTCTGTTTTCTTAAGTAAGGTTGATAAGCTGAATTTTTATAAATGAGAACAAAGTTTACTGTGCTAAATTTTTGAAACTAAATAAAACAAATTAAAAGTACCCATTGCTTTGAATTCAAAATAAATACACAACATATGCAATTTTGTTTTGCCAAGAGTTGTTCCATGACTATCCTATTTATTTGCACAACTCTAATTTATTCAAAATTAAGGTGCTCAATCCCTAATATTAAATAAAACACCATTGCATACCTAATATTTTCCTAAAGTATTGTAAAATAAAGATATGTTTAACGGGGTTCTTAAAAGAACATTTAGGAAGAAAAATAAAAAATGAAAGTGACTTATTTATAAATTAGACTTAGTTTATAGTACAGATTAAAAATAAAATTTGGAAGAAGTTATAGATTAAATATATATATATATATATATATATATATATATATATGTATATAATTGTGAATAAAATAATTTTATCATATATTTTATTTAAAAATAAAAATATCACGATCTTATATTTATTATAATAATATAATCAGATCAATTATTTTATTTTATTATAATTTTATCTTTAAAATATGTTTTAGTAAATTTTAAAAAATAATATATAAATGATTAACCTGAACTCCTAATAGATCTAATTTTTTTTTAATATCATTCTATGAAAGAAGTTTTTGTAAATAAAATTACTTAGAATACTTTTAAATTGAACAAAAATCACACATGTGTATTACTGGGTCAGATTATAAGAAAATTAGAAATAGTTTATCTCTCTAAATCAATCACCACTACGGGTACATGTGTATTTTGAATTTTTTTTATATAAAATAAATTCAACTATTCTTTTATTTATTTATTTAATTATCCAATCGAATAAAAAAATTTAGGGCCATATAATAATTTAAGATTTTCGTATTATGTATTACTTATAAAAATACAAGTGTATGTCCACATTTTTATTATATATTTTTATTTTAATTTACTAAAATTTAATATATATATATATATATATATATATATATATATATATTTTGTACACTATAAATATTTATTATGAAATTATAAATAATTGAAAATAAATAAACATAAGATAGAAGTTGAAGAAAAAACAAAGAGAAACTAAAGAGAATTTGTAATTAAGGAGGTCTATTTTATTATTTGTAATTAAGGATAGAAAGTAAATAAATGGAGAAGAAATCGATCTAACTTGAATAACCTAATCTGAGAGAGGCTTTGAAATTGGTTGCTGTTGAAGAGCACTCTTTAGGTGAAGAGCATGAATTCAATGAAAATGGTGTCCTTAGGTTGAAATATCTACTACTACAATAAACTTCACCTACTTCTACCATGCTTTTATGCATTCCAAATGAGGAAATTCAATAGTAGGTTTTTTGTTTCTTATGGAAAATTTGTAAGCTTCATTTGAGCAGAGTCCTGTTTGGTCTCAAATCATGACTTTTAGACTTTTTTCCGCTGCAACAAGTCTTGAATGTCTTTTTAGTTCAGTTAAATTTTTTTACACATTTATACGTAAAATTAAAACTTCATATTTTACTCGTTATTGTGTGAATCAATTCAATATTTAAATACATATCTTTTTTGTTTTTTTTTTTCATGTTAATTTGATGGAGAGGATATGAAGAAAAACCAAACCGAGAAGTTTTTGTTTCAAAATTTATTTATTTGGTTTATAAATGTCGAGGAAAGGAAAAAATATATTAAAATCTTTCCATTCTTATTTTTACCCCTTTGATTATTATTATTAAGGAGATTTGAGGGGGAAATAAAGTGATTTATAAATGTTAAACTATATTAACTAATTTATTTCTAAAATATTTTTTATTTTCCCATTAATTATAAAACTGTAAAACCAAACATTCTGTTTATATTGTGTTTCTTTTCCTTATTTGAATAAGCAAAGACATAATTAACATTTCGAGATTTGTTTGCATAAGTGAAACTACATTTTCAATTTTAAAAGACGTGATAAATTAACCTTTGTCTGGGATATAATTTGTTTCACACAATATTAATAGAAATTATTTTCAATTGAAATGACAGGCAAATAAATATTGAAATAAAAAAACAGACATAAGTAACTCTATCCTAAAATAACTTAATTTCAATTAAACTTAAATATATTATCCTAAGAACGACAACAGTTAAAAAGTAATATTGAATTGATTAACGATAAAAATCAAACGATGAAAGGGAGGGGACTTCTAAGAAACTTCTCCAATAAAGTCGCAAATTGTACTTGACATTTACATTTTGACAATCAATTTTTATTTTTTCAACATTTAAAAAGTAATAACTTTGTATGGTAAATGAACACAAAGAATGTATTTTTATTATTATCATTTATTTTGTTGAAAAGAAAGTAAAATATGATAGATAATTTATAATTATATATATTTTCCTTGAAAGGCAAAATCCACACTCCAAGTCCAACATATGTGCGTCTTACGATAAATGAGAAACATAAAAAGGAAATGGACAACAAAGTATCGTTTTCTTCTCAGAAACTTCTGCGAAAAATGTCCATACGGTTAACCACGTACATTCGACACGTGCGTCACCGTCCATGCGGATTTTGATTCTCTACGACGCCCCTAACTTAACCTAAAATGTTACCTACCTCTTACAACGTCGAGTGTCAATTGCACACTCTCTCATTTGCCCTACGATAGTGATTTAGCCACGAAGTATTTACATTTTCTCCATGTCTTATGAAATCTAACGGTTCAGGTTTCACGTCCGCGCGATGCAGACTCAAAACCGTATCCGCTCCAAATTCTTCTTCTCTCCCTCGCTTCATTCCAATAGCCACCCCAAACAACTTTGTATTCATCTCATCCACCGCGTCATCCCCGGAGCACCGGTTGGATGACATCAAACCAAGCGTCTTGGCCGCCGCCGCTGCGGTACCACAGTCCGCTCGAGTGCTTACGTAATTAGACATGAGATTAAATATGTTGTTGCAGAGCGATCTCATGTCTTCCAATTCCTTTGTCAACAGGATGTTCTCCTTTCTCAGCCGCTCGTTCTCGTCCAACAGCTCCGCCGGCACCCTCGGCGACGAGTTCGACGAGATCACCTGCTCCTCCGTTGAGTTCGACGGCGAAACGATGGGCTTCGCCGTCGGAATCGTGGATAGAGGCAGCGGCGACGGAACCGCCACAGTCGCAGTTGCTCCGGCCGGTGGCGATGCGGAGAGGATCTTCCGCCGCTGAATTTCGCACAGAAGCCGTTTCTGGCCTCTTCGGAAACACTCGTTCGAGAATTCCCACCGATCAGGGACAACTTTTCTGAATCCCTATAATCGAGGAAAATTAACATAAATTAAAAAATAGAAAAGAAAAAAAAAAGGAAAAGAAATTGGGAGAGAAAATTAATTACATAAGTATTGAGTTGGCGAACGAAGCTGGAAAAGTTGTTATGCTTGAAATATTTAGGAAGTAAATCCCTGGCGAAAACGGTAGTGTTCCAAACAATGAAGGATGATCCAGAATCGTTCCAGGATATGACATGATCAATGGTGTGATCGTCGACGAGCTGGTAGGTTTTGGTGAGAAACGGCGTGGGAATGGATCTCTGAGACTCAGCGCTGGTGGAATCGGAGTTGTGTTCCAACGGCGGAGGCATGGTGGGAATGGCGCAGGAAGGGTTTTCTGTGTGGTGATAGTTCTAGAAGGTTCACGTAGAATGTGGAAATATAAGAGAAGGGCAGAGAGAAATAGAAAAGGAATTGAAGGAAAGAAGAAGCTCTTCTACGTTACCTCTTTTTCCTCGCGAAACTTCCTTCCCATGTGAGGTGGGTTGGTAACTTACGTTAATGGATCATGAAACTTCTACATTAATTTCTTAACTTTAAAAAACTAAAATCAAATAGAGTGGGGAATGATTAAAATTTGTCTGCATGTATATTTGGAAAAGCATAAAAATTGAATAATCTTTCCTATCTATTGCTGTGGTCAGGGTTCGATTTTCTAATACACCAAATGAGTGTGCGGGAATTCTCGTTTAATCTTTAACTTCTTTCAACAATTAGAAGAGTCTAGAGGATTGGTTAGTTACTTCCATCTCAATCTGTTTTACATTTTATCAAATTCAAATCATATATGTTCTGCACTTCGTTGTTTGTTGTTATTTATCTTCAAATACAGTGCACAATAATTTCATAAAATATATATTTTCAAGACAAAAGGAAATATTTTAAGAAAATAAAGTATATAGAAATACTAAACAAATTGAAAATGTTAACAACATATTCGTTAACAAATAACTAGAAACCACTTTATTGAGTCTCATTTTTTATTTAATAATTTTTTTAATAAACTTTAACCGATATAAACAAAAAGATAAATTAATTAAGAAATATGTCAGAAAGCAATTCATCCATTAGACAATGATTGAGGAAACTATTAATTTTGTTTTGAATAATACGAATACTAGCATTATCACTCTTGTAGTGGATAAAAGTTATTTTCACAATTTCGTCATTCAATTGTTATCTATTTCGTCACACTCGGTTATATTGAGAAATAAAAATTATAAATTTAGATCATAGAATACAACATAACAAGTTAAGAATGTTCGCATTATCAGTTAAAAAAAATCGGTAAATTCATAATCTTAATCACGTGTAAGTGTGACTAAAAAAGGTTGAAGAGAAAGTCTTAAAGAGAAAGGAAATTTCAAGTAATCTCTAAAAAAAATGAAGCAAGAAGAAGATTTAGCCAATACATATTCTTTATTGTCGTAGCGTGCGAAATGAGATTTTTACAAGACAAAATTAAGAGCTGAAAGTGATCTAATATCTTGAAAGAAAAATGGTGGTGAAAAAATATTCAGTATAATGATGTCAGAGATTTATCATTTACACTATGTTCGTTTTTATTGGTATACTGTTGACGAAGATAGAAGCACGAAGATGCCACACGTTTGGTTCAACAAAAATACAATGAAATGAAAGCGAGAAAAAGCGGGAGATGGGAGAAAGAGGTTCTTCGCTGATGCACGAAGAAAGAAGAGGAAAGTCACGTCAAAAAAGGGAAAAGACGAAGTTGTCTCTCCCTCATTCCGTCATAATTATTAAATATTATATTTAATCGAGATTTTAGATAGCGGTTCTAGAAGGAATCGCTATTAAAAATATATATTAGATAATGGTTAACGTGAATCCGCTATTATATGTTCACTTTTAAGAGCGGTTAAAATGTTAACCGCTCTTAAAAGTGACACATATATGATAGCGGTTTCACTTTAATCGCTCTTAAAAGTGAACATATAATAGCGGTTCCACGTTAACCACTATCTAAAATCTATTTTTTAATCGATTATATTTTAGATAGCAGTTAACGTGGAACTGCTATTATATGTTACTTTTAAGAGCGGTTAAAGTGGAACCGCTATCATATATGTGTCATTTTTAAGAGCGGTTAACATTCTTACCACTCTTAAAAATGAACATATAATAGCGGTTCCACGTTAACCGCTATCTAATATATATTTTTAATAGCGGTTACTTGTAGAACCGCTATCTAAAATCTCGATTATTTGAAAATATTTTGATGTAAAATTATATATATATATATATATATATATATATAATTATATATATATGCTAAAATATAATTTATATTAATTACTATAATATAAAATATATATTTTAAAATATAACTTATTTCCAAAATATATATTCTATTTTCACTATATTTTATATTTATTTAAAATAATAATTTACAATTATATTATTAGTTTTCATAATTATGTGTTATTATTAGTCAATATTAATTATATATTTATATTTTATAATTATTTAATTATTAGTCAAATAATTTATTTAATATGTCAAAATTATTTTTTTTATGGATATGCAATGTAAATAATTTTGTAATTGTTTATTTATATAATTTTTAATAACTATTTTAAAAAATTTAATTATTTAAATTTGTTTCCACTTACAAACACTTTTAAATTTATTTTTTTCTTTTAATTATATAATCAATGTTAAAATATGGATAATTAATTAAAAAATTATATTTATAATATTTTTAACCTTATTTTATATACAAGGGTAAAATGGTAATTTTCTTAAATAATCAATTAAAATTATAATTTTTATATCTCATGTCAATCAAATCACTCACAATTTTCCATAAACTTTTCTTTTACTTTTTATTCATCCAAACAACTTTAATTTCACCTCCATTTTTTTTAATTCCTCATTTTCCACACTCCCATTTCCACTCTCTCAAATCACTCCAACCAGTCATTATGGAGGCATCAAAATGTCACATGCTACGAACGTAGGATGATAACCAACTAACACAGCCAACTCTTGTCTCATGCAAATTTTGGAAGCAAAATAACGTGTGTGACCTTCAGACTAGAAAGCAAACAACGTATTTTCACAGCTCTTAAAAAGTAGATTAAACAGTGAAAAGTAATTTTATTATTTTCTGTACACAATTTCAATTTTCGCTTCCTAAACTATAGAATAAAAACCGTACCAAAAAGAAAATTAATGAAACAACTTGTTATCGTTCAGAAACCAATTGGGTGATCGTGCGTAGAAATTATAGTTGATTGTTCTCCATTAAAATCAAGTTTTCTCTTAAAATCATATAGTATGATAAGTAACAGCAAAACAAAATAATGTTTACATTTTAAGAATTTCAACACAAATTGACGGCAATACTGCACCTCAAGACAAACTTTTAACTAAAATAAATTTTACAAGACCAAGATCAAATTTGCAAATGTTAAACGCATATTTTAAACTTTTTTTCCGTGCACTGTAAACAAGCTCTCCCATAATATGTTGGTTAAAGAACGATTAAGAAGTTCTTTGCATTTATTGGAATATTTACCTAGCTTTTAAACAATGAATGTATTAGTGTAAATACAAGGCTACATAAAATCAGTAAGTCTGAGTTTCATATTAACGAATCATGTTCAGATTTCATACCTCGTAAATATCAAATCTCAAGATTACAGTGATTGCCCTGATCTAGATTATGAAGAATGATACAAATGGGCATGCATAAAGTTCAAGTAGAACATACATAAGTGGACACGAAATATATCTACCACAAGTCAATTAATATCATTTATAGATCTTGCAAGAACCAGAATTTGGACTGTCATACATCATTTCAGTTTCATAGACACGCGTCATGCAGAAGAAGAGAAGACTCAAGTAGTTTCCTGACACTGACGATATTGGGGGACGGGGGTGAAAAAAATATATACCAATATCCAGCCAAGTTGCATTCTACTCAAAAGTAAAATACATTTATGAACAGAAAGGATATTGACAAGACCTCAAAATGTTCAAAATTCCAGTCTTGGTTTACAAAATGGACATTCTAATAACAAAGAGTGATGGGTAATAAGTTTACAAGGCATAATTGTGACGTATTTCTTCATTTATTTAGCACATTTCAAAAGAAAAAAAACTATGGTCTCACATGCACTTTAGTAAAAAAAAAAAAAAGAAATAAGAAAAAACTGATAGCCAGTATAGATCTTGAAAGACTAAGAAGAGTTTGAAATTCTTTTAGCAAAGAATGTTTGTCATTGTTCGTGTTCATACAGTGTTACGATAGAGAAAGAAAGAACCTGATGGTGCATATATAACTAGGATATTACTAGGCATAATAAACAACTAAAATAAATGTTTATAAATGCTTCCAACAGAAGTATGAAATGCACACAGGCCACAAAAAGTGTCATGCAACAAAAGGATGATGAACAAGCACAGTAAGGTTTACTTGGAGGAAAATAAACAGATGGCTAATCCAGTGCTAGACTTTCCCACTATATCGAAATAAAATGACATGTCCAGATGTTCCATACATTTCAAACTACGACACATGAAAGTCTGCGTGATATTTTGAAGGGAGTGTATACTTTCATATAACTTTGGCATTTATATAGTCAGTTTATTGTGTATGATTCCAATGTCCAATAGCTTCAACAGCAAAATACAACAAAGTTATACTTGAAACCTGGTATCTGCTAAAGAATGATACCGTGTCATCTAACCTGCAAAACTTCTGTTACAAGTCCAACACTCCTCTCACAATGAAAATATTCAAGTTATAATAAATGGCTCACCGAAAGGCCCAATAAATCGCACTCAGAAAAACAAAGGCTCAATTAAGAAACATATAAAACACAGTGGCGATGTAGCATAAGGATCACCGAGGAGAACAGTGCCCAGAGGAAGGTTACCCACCAAGCCAAAAACAAAGCCACTTCTTTGAAGAAAGCAAATCTGGACAGTAAATCACTCGACATGGTAAAATTTCCAAAGGAAACACCATCAATCTGAGACAAACCAAGAAAGACAAGAACCAGCACAGGAGGTGCAAGGAACTGCAAAACCACAAGGCACAAGTAGTGATTATGCAGAAACATCTTTGCCCTACTATAATCCAAGTCAGGAACCTTGCTAGCATGAAGCCTTTGGTACCAAGACAACAAAGCTTCATTCAGATACATCTGTAGGTTAGGCCTCAAAGCCACAATCTGCAATAAACTAGACCCCAACAAGCACCACTTCCTGAAGCTACCAAAATCAGAAGGCAAGAACCCCACATTCCCCACCAATTTCTCCGCATTACCAATTCCACTCTTTGCCACACCATCTCCACTATTTATAAAAATCTCAGCCAAGGGGGTTATCCACAACAGAGCTACAAATATAACGAACACCTGATTTGCATAAAGGATCGCACGAGTAAACCACCCACAAGTTATCATCGACAAATTGCATCGTATCTGATCAGTCCCAAGCCAAAAACAACGTGCACTTCTAGAAGCAGGAATGAGCAAACACCCGGCAAGGAAACCCATCAATGCAGCAACGAGAAACCTCCAAAACCCATCAATTGGAACCTCGAATTTGAACTCCAAAACCGAAGACACGCCCTCAGGAACAAACAAAAGCCCCAAAAAAAGCCCCAAAACCCCCAAAACGACACTCAGTTGCTTCTCAGACCTCCTAGACGCGGATCTCTCGAACGTGACCTTACCGAGGAGCGTCCCCCACATGTAAAGACTCAAAATTGATAACAGAATGGGAACGAAAACGCCGTTGGCGAAGAACCCACTGTCCGGGGGCGATTGGAGAAAATTGTGGAGCAAGAGGGAGAATAGGGCAGCGAATGAGAGAGTGAAAGCGACGCAATACTGATCGGCGAAGAGACGGGACTGGAGGTAGGTGTGGTCGAGCGTGAGTCTGAAGATCTGAGCATTGTTTTCGTCGAAATCGGGCTTGTCCTTGTTGGACTTGTTCCTCTTCTTGAGTTCGGCGGAGGTTTTGGCGGAGAGGGGCTGGTAGCCGTCGATGCCGGGGCGGCGGATGGCGGCTCTGAGGCCATTGGATTGGGGCTGGGAATCGGGTTGGATGTAGGTCTGGAGAGCGTGAAGGAAGAGGAGAGGAATTTTGAAGAAAACGAAGGTGAAGGCGAGGATTAGAGAGAGTGATGCGTGGAGCAATGGGTTCTTGTTCAACAACACCAACTCCAGCATCCTTGTTCTTTGCTTCCTCTTTCTTCTTCTCCAACTCTCAAATGCTTTGTGTGTGTCTCGCAACGGAATGAATGAAGGACGATCCACTTTACTCCTCCATTAACATGATTTTCATTAATATTTTTACTTCTAATCTCTCCTTGTAATAATAGTTGCATTCTTCTTCTTTTTTATATAATTCACAACAAACATTAATAAATAAATAGTCATTTTATATTTTTTTATTAATTCATTCTTTGTTTTTCTGTGTATCATTGATATCTCTAATCTATAATAATATATGAAGATATACTATTTATTTTGATCATATATTTTATTTATTATTTTATCCTTTTAACTTTTTTACAAAAATACTTTTAATATATTTAAGGAAATAAAATATATATTATGATTTTCATGTAAAAACTAAAGACACAAATATTTATTTGGTGTCTATATTTATATAATTTATTCAATTTGATTTCTATATTATTAAAAATTGAGGGACTTAACAGCAAAACTATAATTGAAAAATAAGTAAGTCAATAAATAATTTAACCTTATTATTATTATTAAATGATAATGTTGATATATCAAAAATTAATTATATGATAAGATTGTATTAAAAAAAATTAAGCTTCTTAGTCATTACTCATTCCCATAGTTATTCCTTCATTATTCAATTTCGCTATCAAGTCTAATTTTGTGCCATTTTTGTTAACAGAAGTGTCAAAATTAAGTTTCACTACACTCATATCTTAGTAACTGAAACACTTTTTATGATTTTGTTTTAATATCAAAACTTTGATTTTATTTTTTAAGGATAAACAAAAACATCTAGTCTATACAAATTTTAACATAAGAATTTATTGTTCCTCTCCATGTTAAACTGAAAGCCGATTTTACTAACATCCAGAGGTTGCATTTGGGCCTCGTAGAAAAAGAGGCCTCCTAAGGAGTGGTCGAGAGGCAAAGCCCATCACATTAAGGACTTATGGTACTGAAATAAAATCTCAAAAGTTTAGTTTTGTTTAATTATAATCAATTATTTGTAAAAAATATAAATTAGAGTAGAGCAGAGTAGTATTCAAATAAATATTAATTGGTATTATTTTTTAGTCATGGTAAGTTGAATTTCTTTTAATGATTATTTGCTCCCAAATGTATTATTATATGTGTTCATTTGCAAATGATGAAAGGTTGGTGTGGGTTCCAAATGAAGATAAGAAAGAGTAGAGACAGAGTATTGCTGCACATGGATTTGAAAGGATTAACCAGCCACCACCAACTACCTCTAACTTAGGGAAAACATTCAAAACCCTCCCTTTCTATTTAATCCTATTGGTCCTGTAACGTACTCAATATCGATTCATATTTGTTTTGGTACAAAAATCACATCGAACACGCAACCGTGAAAATATCAGAGAAAGTTACTTGATGTATTCCTATTCGACTATTCTATAATATCTATGTCACCGCACCAAAATATTTAATCCTCATAACAAAACGTACGCGCCACTGGATGTCTTTAACATCAAATAATCATCAGCAAATAGCTTACTAGTTACGTAATGGATATTTATGTCCTTAATATCTTCTTATCACAATAATACTTTAGTCAAATTTTTGCTCTACGGTCTTCACGCATGCAAACTTCTCTAGGTTTAGTATATGCGCCAACAAAAATGAAGGAAAAATATTACGTGTTCAAATCAACATAATCTATTATTTTGTTTATATAATTGATTGTATATTGAAAATAAAAAATCGGTTGTCAGAATGATTTTAACTTCTACAATCAATTATGTAATTGTTAACATTATTATGATATTTTTTTTACTATAATAATAAAAATTATAAGTCAAATTACTAATAATAGATAAAATAATTTATCTTTCATACAAAACATTTTTTTAATTAATTTCTTATCATTTTTCTCTTAATTTTTTTGTTTATTTTTATTAAATGGATCATCGAGAAAAAAATAATAAATAAATATTTTGTATCTCTAATGTTATAATAAACATTAAGCTATTTATATTTTTAATATATTATCTCTAATAAATACATATAAAAAAACAAATTAAATTTTTAAATATAAAATTAAAGAATGTTTAAATATAAAAAATTTAAAAATATTTTTACAAATAAATATAAGGTAAGTGATTATCACTTCATTAAAAATATAGAAAAAGTAACTGCAATTTATTAAAAATATGAAAGAAAAATAAATGTTTATTTAAATATTATAGGATGTATAAAATTAAAAAAAATATAAATGCTATCTAGTAAACTTTATGAGGGATAAGTATAATTTTCCCATAAATAATATTAACACCAACTAAATATAAAAGGTATTAAAAAAAGCCTGAAAAAAAAAAGATCAAACATTACTATAATATAAGATAATAGTTTGAAAAAAAAATAGAGTATAAAGTTGAGAAGAAATTAAAATAAGAGAAAATTAGTAAGCAGAGAGAGAAAGAGGGAGAAAGAATTTATAATATAAAGAAAAAATAAAATCCGTGAATTACAAAGAGGTACACTTAATTCTCTTCCATTTTCTACTTCTGCCACAGCCTGTGGGGACATAAACAAATCACCCATTACTTACTAAATATCCCTACTTTAATACGAATTGTACTAATTTTCTGGCGTGCCAAATTACAAAATCATGAACAAAAAAAATATTTTTCATTTATTTATTCTCTTAATTTGTTTCATTTCTGGTAAAGGATTACAAATGAAAGAAAGGTGTATTAAAAGCCCCCATATTTAGAATGGAAGAAAAGGGCGAGAAACACATGCAAGGTTGTTTGTTTGTTTGTTCCAATTCTTCTTCACAAACTCACCTGCTCCACCGTTGAACTCTGTAGCTGAGATTGAGAATGAGACGATCTCCTCTTTGTTCTTCTGCCCCTGGGAGTAGAACCCGTTGAATCTGTCACAATCACAACAAGAGTTATTATCAATAATAATAATAATAATAATAATGAATAAATAAATAACAAAGGTGAAGTAGGTAGAGAGATATTTGTGATTTGTTTGATAATAAGGAATATAAAAAAGGAAAGAAAGGGGAGTGGGGGAATAAATAAAGATCAAATTCAACTTTATGTACAAAATATCTAAGAGGTATATTCCGTATAATGTGTGAAAGCAAAGAGTGTGTGTGTAGTGTTATGGTGATAAAAGTGGTAATGAGGAGAAAAAAAAAAGAAACCAAGAGGGGTTACCTGGGGGTGCATTAGCATTAGCATTAGCATAAGCATGCTTCTTGGGCCTGCGGTTGGGCTTGGAATCCAAGGTCGATTCGGAGGTGTCGGGGAGGTAGCGGTCGAGGCGGAGAGGGGGGTGGGATGAGACGACGACGTAGTGGTGGAGCATTGTGCGGACGAAGGAGGCTTCCATGGTGTTGAGGAAGTGAAGGTGCTTCTCGTCGGTCCAAACCGAGGGCGTTTGGGTGTGCGTGGATTCCATTGTGTTGGTGGGTGGTGGATGAAGATGACAGAGAAGAGAGGATTGGGTTTGGTGAAGAGAATAGAGAAAGGGAGAATGGCGAAAAAGAAGATGCGATGGTGGCTTTATTAGCTGGCCACCTGTTTTCATTATTTAAAACCAAAATATCTTCATACTTTCTTAAACTATTTATTAATTAATCATCTACGGATCTATTTATCCACTAATGTCAAATAACATGTTCCAAATACATGTTAATTAACAACACCTTAATTATTTTTTTTAAATATTCATGCAAAATTGTAACATCAACTTCTCTCTTAATTATGCCTCATTTGATTTTTTTCTTCTATTATTAATCCTATTAAATATAACACTATTGCTTTTTATGTTTATATTAATATTACAAATAGTTTTGCGATAAATTATTTATTGTGATGATTACTTCAAACATATAACAAATTATAGTTCTAAGCAATATTTTGTCACAAAGAAGCTGTGTCTTTATGTTATGACGGTCTTTTTTTTAAGGAAAATGTGTTAATAACTTAATTATAAGTGATTTTTTAAAGAATAAATAAAATATACATACATTTATATTTGTTTAATATTTTCACTGAGTTTTGACGTTTAGTTCTGTGTTTTTTTTTAAGTTTACAGATTATTTTTTAAAACTGTTTTAAACAAAGAAAAATTAAATAGATGATTATGAATAGTCTTTGAAAATAATTTTGATCATTTTATGATAATTAAAATGAATGATTTAATATAATTATTAAGTAAAATATTATTGTTTTTTAATAAAATAATAATATACTTTATTAATTTTTATTTTAAAAAACTAAAAAAAACTGTTTTAACAATATATTTACCAGATAAATATTTCAATTTTAAAATTTAAAAAATTGAAAACATTAGTAAACGAGGGAGCACTTGGTTTTCTCTTAAATTTCCTATTTAGTTTTTTATATATAATACTTGATGTGTTGTAAAAATAACCTGTGATACTAAAAATTAGTTTGTTTGGAGGAAAAACATAAAATGATAAATTAGAAAATACCAAAATTATTAAGTAAAATATTATTGTTTTATTGTGAAAAAAAGAAGAAGATGTTTCTCTATTGGATCTGTATATTTTATTTTTGAGTTATAGATAAGAAACAATGGAAAATATAAAAAAAATTATGATTTTTTTAATTATTCCTTTCTTATTACTTTACAAAATAATATATGATTTTTATAATTACTTACTTTTTATTTATTTATTATTTCTAAAAAAATATTTTTATATCACTTTTTCTTAAAAAAATCATTTTGTTTTTTTTTCACACATTATAGTTCGCAACCAAACATAGACTAGTGGTGCTAAGTTAATTAGAATGTCTAGTTTTTAATAATGTTTTTGCACATTAAAAAAACATATTAAAAGTTGTTAATTATATATGTATTTTTTAACTATGTTATCCTTTTACTTATAAATGCTTATGCATAATAAGCTTGTTAATTTTTATATTAATAATATTGAAATGAAATCAAAAATGATTTTGAAAAAACGTTTTAACTAAAAAAATAGATACTTGTACATTAAACTCGTATACCTTTTTGTTTATGTCACAAAACATTTTAGTAAAATGATTGAAACATATCTGCAATTATAGTGAATATTATGTTATGTTTTGATTGGGTCACTTACAATTCCTCCACCATTGCTCTTTGTTTCTGGTGGAATTTCGATCGATCTTGATTCTAAAGGTGTTTTGGTCCTAATCAAAATCCTACCACGTAAGCTCTTTTTACTTAGGCTAGCAATTTGGTTTTCAATCGAAAACGTGTATGAAAATCGAAAACTCCAGGATATCGAAAATACTGTTTTTGGTATTTTGTATTTAAAGTATCGAAAAAATTTAGACTATCAAATAGAAAAGCGGAATATTAAATTGCGAGGAAATGTAACATGCGAGAACCCCAAACTTGCATTAATTGTAAATAGCGAGGAATCGAAAACAACACAAATATAACTGACAAGAAATCGAGATTGCAAGAAAAGTAAATGACGAGAAATTGAGATTTGCGGAATGTTAGATAACGGAAATCTAAATGCGTAAACTCAAATTTTCATTGAATTGAAATGGACAAGGAATCGAAATACGAAACATAAAGCTGCTGAATTTAAGTTGCATCAAAGTAAATTACCAAGGAAAATACGAAAGCGATAAATGTACTCCGTGAGCGGGAAATCCAGACGCGTGAAGCTTCATGGTGTTCGTCGTTTCTCCGTAGACTTTTCACTACTCGGTTCCGTGCTCGCCAATTTTTGCTCCCCTGTTTCTTCCTTCTTTTCTCTATTTATAGGGCATCCTTCAAGCCTTCTAAGAGCGGTTAATACGATCGCTACCACGTTCTACGTGCGTATGGCGGCTTATCTTCTAGTTTCCCACGTTCTCACGATCTCCGACTTTTACCCATGATTTCAAAACTGCTCTCTATACGTGCATTCGACTTACCTCTCTTCACGATTTGGCCAAAATCTCGATGTCCCCATTGGTTTTCTTTATTCTCGATTCTATATTTTTCGAGAACTTTGAATTGCTCACGATTCCTTTTTAATCCTGATCCTATGACTTAGTTTTTATTCGACAAGGGTCATTTGATTATAATTCATTCGATTCTCAATTGTGTTTCTCGATGCTATATGCTACGTATTTCTAATTTAGACATCGAATGAACTTTTGTTTATCTTATCGAGTCATATTTCTTCCACTTCGATTTCGATCGCTTTTCTCGATTTGCCACTAACAAAATGCCCCCTTGGAAGAATATAAATGATTTCGTTTTATATTCTTTCAATATTCCCGCCTTAGTGTTTGAAAGCCCACGAGATTTAGGGTTTAGGGTTTACGGGGTTCTAGGGTTTAAAAGGGTTGTGGGTTTCTTTTTGCTTTATGTCGTTGTCTCGTCGGTCTGTTGCCTTCACGATACTGTTGCATTTATTACCTTTCACCTCCATCGTTCCAGTTCCCTATACGATTTACCCTTAACCTCTCCCTTAGTCTTCACTCCGGTTTTTACGCGAACCATTACCTTACGTGCAATTTCATCTTCTTCCTTGAGCTCCTACCTTCGTTCCTATTACTTCATCCGTTAACTCTTCCTTTCGTTTTCCTAAATTCACTACAATGGCCAGCTCATCAAAATCTTCGATTTTTCCGCTCCACCCCTTTCTTCATCGCCATCTAACTCCGCTGGAGATCAACAACCGAGAGGTTCGCTCCAGTTCCTCCGATGGAGGAGGCTTCCCGCAAGATTGCTGAGACGCAGTACTTATTCCTTATACTTGTTGAAGGGGTAAATTTTGCTTTTGGGGGTCCTCTCCGTCCTATCGATGACATTTTTACTCCTCTTAACATCTCAACTAGTCCGGCTTTGGTTCATCAACCTGAAGTTAGGGTTGATTTTCTAAATCTTACTTCTAAAGTGTATAGAACGGGCCCTCCTTCCAAAAAGCCTCAATTTATTAGGTGGTTCGATAGGGTACAAGCCAAGTTTGGGAACCATTGGAGGGATATAGGAATTTTCGACTTTTTGCATCTGTCTCGATGCGATCTATCATTTTTGGACATGGCGATGTTTTTGTCTGCGGTGCATTTATGGAACAAGGACCTACATGCTTTGGAGTTGCCTTGTGGTCCTCTGTCGCCTACCCTTTTCGAGATTGCGGCTATTACTGGGTTGAAGCCCATAGGGGAGAAGTATATTAAAGGTGCATATCCTTCGAGTAGCTCTTTGCGGTCCAAAATTGATTGGGAATCGAAGGCTTACGGACATTTCATCGAGAAACATTTTGTTGATGACCCTTCGATAGCTGTTACTGATGAAGAGCATGTAGCATTTTTGGTGTATTGGCTATGCACTCATGTATTTTGCCCCGATCCATCCAAATCTCCCCCATTTGTTTGATCTTGCATATGTCCCGCACATAGGTCGACCTACAATATGTTTGGCTAAGCTACTACTAGCTCATGTGTATGCTACTTTCGACGAGGTCTGTCGAAATTTTGAACACACCTAAAGCGTCGGGGAATTTTTCGAGCCCTGTTTGGTTTGTACGAGTTGTGGCTTACTTCAATTTTTGAGAGCGTCCTTCCTCGAATCTCTTCCGTCCCTCCGAGTGTAAATATAGAAGGGGCCCGATTATCCTCTCGTCACCCTCGTCATAAGTCCGATGAAACTACCTACGTAAATACCTTCATTTTTTGTTAACCGGATTCACTTTCGACTCAACCTTGGCCCCATTTATCGTAAATCTTGGAAGAACAAGTGGCCAACTTAGGGGCCGATTTGGTTTAAATCGAAATTTCCTGCCTCGACTCCTGGGTTGCAATCGGAAGCGATAGGTGTATGGAGTAACTATTTGACCCATGATGTTTTGGTATCGGGTTTTCAATCGAAGGATTTTAAGCTTGTCACCTATTACCCCCGACTTTTCTCGAGACAATTTGGGTTGAGTCAATCTTTGCCTTTCTTTTCTCTCGATACCTCCCCAAAGTCCAAGTTAAGCTGAATCCACACTTAGTCGGGAGCTTGTCGAGCTTTTACCGAAAACCCCGATACACTTTTACCCCTATGCTTTCGATTCGAATTATTTATCTACCGTGGGTTTTTCTCAATGGTGGGCCGGTTGGTTCTCGAGTAGTCATGCTACTTTTGATGAAGTTCGCCGAACCGACTACTCAACCTTCTCTTGTGTTGCGGGACAAGTCAAAATCGAAGAAAGGTACACACTTCCACTGTCTTCAAATATCTCGATTCGAGAACTTTTATCAAATATGTTACACCCCACCGAAATTAGAATCGACCTATTATGATGCTCGTTATCTCCTTATCCAATAAAACGGACATTAATCGATCGAACCACAAAATAATCAATCCTTTAGGTAGAACCCCTTTTGAAATGTATTGTCCAAATCGCCTTCCAACTTTTCCCACGGCTCCTTTTGGACTTGCCAAACCATTAACTCATC